TCATCATCCTCTTCACGATCATATACTTCAGCATCATTCTATCTTTCATATTCTTTTGATATAAACATTCATGTCTTTATTTTCAAAATTTCGAAATAAGACTTAATTGTTGTTTCTTATATTTATAAACCATTTTTAAGTTTCACTATTTAGTAAACTGACTAATTGTCTAAAAGCGATATCTCCTTCATTTCATTAATATATTCTTAAAAATAAAAATAGGCCTTTAAAAAATATTTTCATAAATATTCCACGTTTTTAAACAAATTTTACTTATTTATGTTATGATCCTTAAACTCTTAAATATATAAAGCATTACTACTAATAATTACCTTTATGTTCCTTATCAAGATTTCAAATTTTTAGACTGAATTTAATCTGATTTTTATCAGTCTCAATTTAGCGGTGCTGCACCAATGTTGAGAAAACAGCATACGGAAAAGAGAATTGTGTTAGTACCTTTTTTATCACATTAAAAACTAATTTAATAAATATTAACTTATATTTGAATAAAATATTAAGAAAAATATGATAAAAAAATGCACATAAAATATTTTCACAAAAAAATCATTAAACTCATATTATATAAACTAATACTATTATAATTTTAATCTTCAAATTAATAGAATATATAATCCGCGTATAAATATTATAATAGATATAAATAATTAGCATGAAAAATTGAGTATATTAAATGTATATCAAATTCAACAATAAAAAATATATAACAAAATAAAAATTGAGAATAGATATTCAATAAAAAATGAATGTATAAGTGTATATATATATATTTATATATGTGATCGAATTTTTTTGGTATATTAAAAATTTTTTAACTTTTAAATTATTAAAAACTTCCTATACATTATTGAGACGTAAGCAATAAGCGATATAATGACCTAAAATATTAGGATCATTTTGCTCATTGCCATCATAAGCTATTAAACCTCTAAGGGTGTAAATAATTTGATCAATTTTTATGTTAGGTATGGTCTTAGATCAATTAAAGGGTATTGCCCCGTTTCTAATGTGATTTCTAGCAATATATTATATCGATTTAAAAGTAAAATAGAAGATAATTTATATTTGCACGTAATATTTGAAATTTTTGCATTACATAGCCCTCTATCTATAGGATGTAAATAATAAATAACCATTTATTCTAAATTAGCTATATGAGCTATATGTTCAATGGTAAAAGATAAAATACCGCTTTGGTAGAGAACAAAACCCCTACGAACACACGACACGTTCTTCTGTCGTGTTTTCAAATATTCCGATTGATATAATTTTTAATAAGTGAAAACCTATTCTATACGGCAGCAATATGGTATATATAATTAGGTAATATATTTGGTTTGAATAATTGGTTTACAATTTTAACAAGTTGTTTATTCGCATATAAAATGTATTTGTGAGTTAAACTCTCCCCTATATTTGTTTAAGAAGGGGATGTTAGAGTTAAATAATTTGTAACTGGGCTATCTATATTGGCTGTCGTTATAATTTGAATAAAGGCGCCTATAGCACATGTAATCGTTACGGTGTATTTCTTTCCTTCATAACTAACCGATCCACATAAATTCCCATTTTTGAGAAGGCGAATTGGTCTTCTTTTGCATCACCGCTAATAGGATTTATTTATAAGACCTCGCCAATTTTCTATAGCTCCTTTTTATTAAAGCATCAATGCTAGGTATTGTGCTCCGATTTTAAGAAAATATAAAATTATTATAAAATAATATAAGTAAAAACAAGAGAATAAATTGTGATAATTAAAAAGAATATAAATTTTTTATTGCATATAAGATACTAAGTATTCCTGAAGAGGAAAAGTTTTGACTTTTAAAGAAATGGGGCATAATTGCGGGAGAAATTTGAGGAAAATTATTATTTTGCGGGAGAATTATGAAAATCGAGTTTGTGAAAAATGGCTTAGACCCCCCGCCCACCACTAATTCTTAAATACTTTATATATATATATATAATAACAAAGACAGTAACTTTTTGTAATATTTTTCAAAGAGAATACATGTTCGCATATTTTTAAGCGTCGGGATTAAATTACGAAAAAATTATACCCACTCCATTGCTTTTAGATTTAGACATTATATTATGGAGTATTTTGGAAAATCATAAAAAATAGAGAGCATTATAATATGCTCCTCAAACAAGATATCAATATCTAGCGGTATTTTTAATATATTTATCAAATTACAAAATTCATCAATTGATGGTTTTTGTTCCAAGGTCATAACCTTTATAATTGTAATAGAAATTAAAATCAAACTTTGAGCTATAATACTCTATAATTGTTTTAGTAAAAATATCTGCTCCATAAAAGACATTAATTAGAGCAACATTTAAGCAAGCGAAAAGACAATTATAACAATATTTGTGTGAAGGGGGGGGGGGGTCGATAATAGTACAAATCGAGTTTGAAACGGTACAAATCGAATATAAATCGATCCCATCGAAGTTTGAAACAGTACAAATCGATTACAAATCGATCCCGTTTTAAAAATATGAAAAATGCCAAAATTTCAATATCGGCTAACTTCACACTATTAATATAAGTTTAAAATTTGATTTCCGAAATAAATAATGGAGATAAAAATTTATTTGAAGCATCATTAAGAAGAGAAAAAGTTCTCTATCGTTGTACGTTAAGAAATTAAAAAAAAAAAATTATGAGTATTTTTCATTTTTGGCACCAAAATTAACGGTCAATATCTGGGAAATGGTAATGGTACAAATCAAAAAAACGATACAAAATCATTCTCTATCGATCTATACCCTTTCTATTTTTAAATTCAAAAGTTGGGGGGCTGAGTGAAGTTGCCCCCCCCCTCCCATTTTGTTCTCAAAAACGGCGATGGTACAAATCGAACTGAAAACGTACAAATCAGTCCAACTGATAGACCATTGAAAATCCAAAAGTAAGGGTCCAACTTCACGGACTTATATAAATCGGATTAAGAATTAAAAATATTTCCGTAAAATTAATTTATAAATAAATGATTTATTCTAATTTTTTGATTGATTTATGGGTTGCACGGTTTTTTTTCCTCTTCGGACTCATAGTGTCCTTTTGCAATATCATATTAAAAAACCGACCCATATTCTGATATCTCTAAAAGGTATAATGGCTAGGAGGCTGAGATTTTTGTCCATATAGGTAACACGAACCTTAGTTTGTATATATAAAACTTCATAAAATTCGAAAGTATCCGCCAAATCGCGATCGACTTGACATGGAATGACCTATTCGACTTTTGCAAATGAACGATGAGCGCAAACGAATTCGTTTATTTTAAAGAAATGTTTTGAGATTTCGCATTCATTTTGTTTCACATATTCTCCTTTAAAAACAATCTTAAAATAAAGAAATAATTATTCATTTTAAAAGTCCGAGCCGGGTTGTGAATTTTTTGTAATTTTGAAAGGCCTGATAGTCAGAATAATATTTGAGGAAGTATAAACGTGCCCTGTATAAAATTCAAACAAATTGCTATGAACCTTTGTGTAGTTTTTTAAAATTTGTATGAAAATTCGATATATAAAAATTAATATAAATAAATAGTACAAAAGTTCAGAACAATTGTCTGAAATTCGCAAGGTATAAACTATATATATGCCGGAATACTTTTCCGGCAAATTCAAATCTATCACAATTAAGAAAAAAGCGCGCTATAAATGATGTAAGGAGATAGAGGTGGTCACCAAGAATGGTTACCTTTGGATTTTCTTTCTCTCATTTTTTTTTAAAAAAATTTTTCATTCTTATTTTATTTTTTCCCCTTTTATTCTTCATAATAAAAGTGAATTTTTTTGAAAATATAATTCTATTGAGCGATTATCTTAAAAATCTAAAAATAAAATATTAAAATTGAATCAGGTGGGAATATTAATCTATATTTGAAATTTATTTTGTTATTATTTTTCAAATATAAAGTAATTTTTAGATAATTTATATTAAAGATATTTAAAATAAAAAACTAAATTTATATTAACATTATTTGGGTTAATCATATGTTAGAGTTTGGTGAGAAAATCAGATCTCTCAAAACTTGATCCATTTCTCTTAAAATTATTTGGGAATTTGAATTATTTTAAAATTTTCCAGTGACCGAATCGAAACTAACAAAAGCACAATTAATATTGAAAATTTTGTATGATTCATTTTAGATGGGTATATTTTAATGCTTGAATTTTTTTTTTAACTTGCTTATTAACAAAGTTTTGAACCGCAACCAAAACCATTTTTAAAAAAAAATATTTTAGGAACAGGAAACTGTGTTTTGAAAAGTATCCAATTGAAACGCTTTTAGTCGAAACTCCATCCAAACTTCGAATTCTATCTTTGTAAAGAAAGAAATATAGAATTAACAAGTGTACAAACCTAACTAAAAAAAAATATACTAATGTGTGCCCAAAAAATCTTTCCTCAAATATAAAACATTTTAATATTTACTCAAATTAAATTTAGGCGCTTTTTGCTTCTCCCTAGAAATGCCATTAGGGTTAGGTCTACAGCCCTCTATGATTCGAAAAAAATATATTAATTAAATACTGGTTATTTGTTAATTTATAAATAAAATTAGGAATACTTATATGTGCATATGCAATTAATAAAATAATGCTAATTTGTTTTATGAACTTTAGTGGCAAATTAACAAGTGTGACTCTTCTTAATATATATTAATCTTATAAGTTTGTAGCCAAAGGATTAACTTTTTAAAGGTGGGACCAATATTATTTTTACGAAACAAGCTTAACACTGTATTGTATCGTTATTTTTATCTGAGCTCAAACCTAAACCGATTAAAATTATTTAAAAAAATACTATTTTATTTATTTATACAAGAATATTTTTTTAAAAGAATAGTCAATCCAAGCATATTAAGGTTTTTAAAAAATAAAAAAGATCTAAATCCTTTGAGGAAGTAGAATGAGACAAAACTGGAATGGATATTTTAAAACAATAATAAATATAAAACTTTATTTATCCTGATAATATCGCCCACTTGTATGTCAGAACTTTGCACGGGCTCTGTGGTGACTAGTTGATAATCTTGATCATTTAACATTAACTTATTGTATATAGCGGAGTTGACTTCTTTGTCCCTTTGATATCTCCTAAAATCATCTATTGCTTCTCTAAATAACGTCACTAACAACACAAAACACTTTTTATAAAGTGACAAAATTAAAATTAGGTTTCAATGTATTTAATGCAATATTAACAAGAATATGCACGAATAGATCCGACCGAATTTAGATGGTCAGATTAGGACAGTTATTTTATCGGGTTCGGTTGAATTAGGACCTTGATTTTAAAATTTATTTCAAATGACTCAGAACAAAGATTTAATCATTTTTCTTTCACAAATATTATTTATGTTCAAAATAAATCATAAAATTGTTAATTATCCTTCAGCGCTTAAAATTATTCAGATTTCATTGAAATATGATATTTTTTCAACAGCCCGATAAAAAAATTCGGATTCAATTGAACTCGGACTTTTTTCAATAATTTTGGATCGGGTACATGACCACCAGAGAGGTTAGGAAAAAAACAGACGTAATTTTTTATATTATTTTAAGGATTTATATGTTATTTGCGAATTAAGATAATGCGAAAATATAACAAACCATGAATTTTTATTATTTGAAATGCAAGCCCCATTAAATGTTAAATGTCACGGGATTGTAAATGATAATAAAATTGTCTAATTTTATTATCATTTAAAACGGAAAAGGCAAATATTTGGTAAGAAACATGTTGAAAGACAAAATAGTAATAATAATTAGCACCCCTAATATTATTATATTGTATCTACTGGGTTAGAGAGTTAACTAAATTTCGTAAATTATCTATGAAAGTGAGTCTATCATACCTAGTTGTTGGTGCTGGTACTGTATGCCACATCATTCGGAGATGGGTACAAATTGATCTGTGTATTTGTATATTGTCTGCAAACTTTCTTAGGAAAAAAATTTACAACTACTATAAATAAAACTGCAATTTGACCAAAATCTGAGAGATAAAGTGGTTAGTTTGTCAAGAGCTTCAGAGACAATTTCAGTAGAGGAATGTTGGATGGACGTCATTCAAAGAGGAACTATTTGATGTTTGCAAAGATCTTATGAATAACAGTTTTACCTTAAGAAACAAATTTATAGGAAGACGCAGTACGTAAGATAGCGGAACTTAGATTGGGTAAAGACAAGACAACAATTGATAGACTCCTTAGAAGAGACAGAAGGATCTTAACTGCAAATAAGGCCTTTAAGATTGACAAAGATATTAGAGAAAATATATGAGGAGGCCTAAAAAAAACTCAGATACTTCTGCAAATAAACAACTTCAAGAAAAATTCCCCTATATAACACCAGATAACAATAAAATAATAACCGATACAGATGAACAGATAGCGGTGTAGCTAGTTGATTAAATGAGTATTTTCGAATAAAGGAAACCAACTTCGATATCAACTACTAAACGGGAAGCTGGATAATTTACTAAACTTCTCATTGAGAAAATTGCAGCGGCGATAAAAAAAACTGAGGAATAGAAAGGCTCCTGGGCTTAATAACATTACAGGGGAGCATTTAAAGGCTGCCCCTACTACGATATCACATTTTCTACTACAAATCTTTAATATAATCTGGCTCACAGGGACCCGATTGTACTTGTCAATTTTTTACCCAAATTTCCAACCCCACTAATTTAGAGCTATCGTTTACATCTATTGCACCAAATGTGTTCATGGTACTTCTAAAAAATCACATTTCTTTCACGCCAAATCTCCTCTGCAAATAAATTTGCTAGCTATAAAAAGAATGCAAAAGTGTGATAAGTATAAGTTGACCTTTTACTTCATTTTCATTAATTTCGAACGAGTTTTTGACAGCGTTAGACATTATGATTAATAACTCTCTTTGGAATATATTATCTGAGTGTGGTATCAATAATAATATAATAAAAATCCTTAAACCCCACTACCACCTTCTTTAATATTAAGAAAAGTGTCAGACAAAGCTGCATTATCTCTCATTTGCCTTTCAATTTGGTTATTAACAAAGTGATGACGCATGCCACATAGATTGATATCATATGCCTATGATATTGTAATATAACTAAAGCCTAGAAGAAACCAGAAATTCAATACATATACTCATATCATAAGTCTAAAAGTGGGATTAGACATAAATTATAGCAAAATTGTTATCTCTTAACTTTACGCACCTCCACTAGAAACTTTGTACTTAGAAATGAAACAGTCAAAGTGGTGAAAACATTTAGGTACTTATGTGCATGACAAAGAAGATTGTGAAAAGGAACTCAAAATTCGTATAAAACGCCATAGCAAACTTTTATAAGTATTTTAAACTTTAGAAGGAAAGAGATATTTGTGCTTACAAGACTTCATATCAACAATTCTACTATTATACAGAGGCGATATAAAAGAAATAAACAAGCTTGAAACAAAAAACTACAGACTAATAATAATGTTTAAGAATAATAAATGGCATCTTCTATTAAAATGGTAGAAGTATAAACACACCCAGGTTCATGTGATCTAAAAAAAAGGATATAGTTTTTTGCCAACATTATTGCATCTAAATAAATAGGAAAATTTCTAGGGGAGTGTGATCTCCTCCCTTTCCTTTCATATATTTTGATAACCTAATGAGTGTTTCTTTTCTCACTCATACATTTGTCAAAGATTTAAATTAAAATCAGTCGATTTTAAGTTAAAGCAACTAATTAATCAGAAATTATAGGGTATGGGCTATGTTAATTTTGTTCATTTCTTTTGACGTCAGACCATAGATATTTAAATAACAGTCTTTACAAGTTTGTGTGGCTTGCCTACAAGCATGTAAAGAGCTTCTCATAAATTTTACCAAACTTATTTTAATATCCAATTTGATGGAAATGTGGAATACCTAGCATAGCTTTGTTGTATCCATAACATTAGAGGCAAGCCTTCATGAGCCTGGATTCTTAATCAGACATTATTAGAAAAAGAATATTTTTTTATATTAGCAACTGCTTTAAATAGTCTAAATTTAAATGAAAATTGTTTAGGCCCAAGCCTATTAAAAAAAATTCAAAAACCCCGGCCTGGCAGAAAATACAATATTAGATACCCAGCACCTATGCGCGTGCTTGGCCTATGAAAGTGTCTCATTAGAGGACAATACACTTTTATCATGCATCATGTAATTTTATCGATTTCATGAATATGTTTGAATCTATAAAACTATAAAGGGTATTCAACACGACATAACAAATTGCAATCTGGTACATTTCTTATCTCTGGAAATTTCAGCAGTTTTAAAAACTGAGAAATAATAAATATACGTGGCTCAATAACATAACTAATGCCTTAACTTTTATAGTGATATCTCAATTTAAACTGATAATTCAATTAAATCTGTTATACTAAAAAAATATATATAATAGATTGGAACTTGCCAATTTCTCTAAAATTACAAACCCAACCAAGTCTAAAGATCATAGGGTCATTGCTCTTTACATCAAAAGTCTTTATGATTTTGCTAAAAAAATTGTATCCTTTCACCAAATCTCTTTTATAAATACATTCCCATCACCCCAAAAATAATATAATAGAAAAGGGTTTTTCCATGTCAAATGACCAAAAAAATCAAGATTTTCGGCCGACCCCTTTCAATTTCGATAAAAAGTTGTAGACTGGTTATATCTGTTCCCATTAGATTATAAACAAAATTTTAGCGCATTAGAAACTATATTAGCGGAGATAATTGGGGTTAAAGGTCCAAAAACGTCTTTTTTTGCTTTTTACTAATGTCAAATAATTAGTTTTTAATTTAAAACTAAATATGATCAAATATTGAATATATAATCAATAGCTAAGTTAATAATTGATGGTTATGGCGAAAACATCAAAATTAATTTTTGATAAAATATGGGTCATCTTATGGTCAGTTGAAAACTTGAAATTAATATTTAGAAATGTATATGATATCCGATTTTTAATTTTTTTAAGAAATATTATCCTTTTACTATTTTTTTAATATCTTCAACAATTAGCATGGCTGGATATTTATTTTAAAAAATATTGCGATTTTTATACTTTAAAAAAAATAGATGGCGCTATATATAATAGTTATAATATGTTAAAATTCATTTTTCTTATTGATTAAAAATATTTTAATGTATAATATATCATAAAATTCTATTATATAACTTTGTAAACCTTATTCCCCTGAGATATTCCCAGGATAAAAAATTTTAATAATTTTTTTAATATTTCAATGTAAATTAAAATAATTAAAAAATCCGACTAACACACGAACAAAAAAGCAGGATTAAAGGAGTGCAGGAAAATTATTAAGGGAAAAATCGAAAATCACATTAATTACCAGGCCCTACCCCCAACCCCCCTTCCACCCAGACTAAGTCATACCCATTAAGATCAAGAATGTTATGAAATTGTCATTATCTTAAATTATTAAAATAACCAGAGATAAAGAAAATTTCGAAGATTTTGAAAAAATTTTTAAGCAATAAAAATAAACAAAATTATAGTTCTGATGAAATAAGCCGACTCATGCCTGGAATAAAAGATTGTGTATCTGTTAAAGGCGAGAAAGAATCAGTCCAAAGACTTATATTAAATAAGCCTAAATAAATATTCAAGGAATACCCAAATATATCAATTGGATTCTCTAAATTTGCCGAACTTAGACCAAAAAACTGTATTTTAGTTGGAGCTAGTGGCACACACACTGTTTGTGTCTGCGCCATTCATCAGAATGTGAAATTAATGACAAATGTAGAAAAATTTAAGATGGGGAATTTTTTAGATTATTCTGAGAATTATTCCTTCATTTTACAAGATGAAGTTCAGGGATTTCATTGGAACAACGTGCAGGCCACTATACATCCATTTGTAGCATATAAATCTGGAGAAGAATTAAAAAATATAAATTTTGTTATTTTATCTAAATTTAATTCTAAACCAGAAAAAAAATATATTTTTCAGATGAAGCCGCGTCTCAATACAAGAATCGCAAAATTTTTCTGAACATATGCCTTATAAATACGATTTTAATATTCCTGCCGAATGGCATTTCTCTGCCACTGCTCACGGCAAAAATGCATGTGACGGTATCGGAGGAACTGTCAAAAGATTAGTTGCCAGAGCTAGTCTTCAAAGGCCAAATAAAAGTCAAATCCTAACCCCATTAGAATTATATAATTATGCTAAAGAAAATATTAATGGAATTCAATTTGAATATGTATCCAATCAAGAAAATATCGAAGAGGAATTAGCCCTTCGTAAAAGATTTAATGCACTGCTTATACATGGGACCCAAAAAATTCACGGGGTTATTCCCATTGATCAAAATAGACTAAAAAATAAAATATATTCTAATTCCAAAAAATAATAATATAAAACAAGTTTCGTTTTTAAATGAGAAAATTAATTTTTAAAATATTAATGGATATATAACATGTGTATATGATGATAAATGGTAGTTAGGATATATAATCGATAAAAATGATATAAATGTAGAAGTAAAAATCCGATTTTTACAGCCTTGTGGACCTTCAGCCTCATTGATGATATTTTTGTGTTGCCTAAATCTCATATTCTCTCGCTGGTCAATCCTTCTACTCCCACCAGTCAAACATATATTATCTCCTGAAGAAATCTCACAAGCTAGCCAGGCTTTGTATTCCTTTAGATGAAGTAAGATTTAATTAATTTATAAACTATCTTAATTAGGCTAAATTTGTGAAGATTTTAAAAATTTATGATCTGAATTACAAATAAATATATATAATGGACATTGTAATCGATTTAATATGATATATATATATATACATTAAAATATTTTTAATCAATAAAAAAAAATGAATTTTAACATATTAAAACTATTATATATAGCGCCATCTATTTTTTAAAAGTATAAAAATCGCAATATATTTTAAAATAAATATCCAGCCATGCTAATTGTTGAAGAAATTATTAAAAAAAATAGTAAACGGATAATATTTCTTAAAAAAATTAAAAATCGGAGATCATATACATTTCGAAATATTAATTTCAAGTTTTCAACTGACCATAAGATGACCCATATTTTATCAAAAATTAATTTTGATGTTTTCGCCATAACCATCAATTATTAACTTAGCTATTGATTATATATTCAATATTTGATCATATTTAGTTTAAAATTAAAAACTAGTTATTTAACATCAGTAAAAAGCAAAAAAAGACGTTTTTTAGACCTTTAACCCCGAATATCTCTGCTAATATAGTTGCCAATCCGCTAAAATTTTGTTTATAATCTAATGGGAACATATATAACCAGCCTACGATTTTTCATCGAAATCGAAAGGGGTCGGCCGAAAAGTGATTGATTTGACATGGAATGACCCAAAAAGTATCCATTTCCATCAATTAAAGCTATCTTTTCACCAAAATCTCAAGAAAATTTTAGCTCTAGGGACTTATTTGTAAAAAAAACCAAAATAAAATAAAATTACAAGATCACTAATTTTTCACCTTTGGGCTAATAAAATTGTAAATCCCAAATGAAAAAGAACCAGCTATTTAAATTGAACTAACCAGATCAGACTATAGGGAATATCCCAGCCTGGTTCAATATTGGGTTTAGTGTATCTCTAGAAATAATTTCATGGGATATTAAATTAAATTATTTTTAAAAATTATTAAATTATATTAGTAATTTAGAAATTATTGAACTAACCAGTGGTCCCCAATAAGTGTAAAGATAACCAATTTTGACTTGATTTATAAATTGAGTCAAGGCAACAATCAAAAAATAAAGATTCAAGAAAAATTTAAATTGATTGTATAATACCTTTTTTATAATTAAAAAAAATTTATTTAGTATATATATATTTTACCAATGGTATAAATGTAAAAAAGTTGTATTTTTGATTATTAATAGCATTTGAGCAATATTTATTTTTATTTTTCCGGCCTATATAAATTGTCCTAGGATGATATGATTTTTTACCAAAACAACACCTAAAAAAAAATTTTATATAACAGAAAAGTATAACCATATAGAATTTTTACTTATAAGGAAATATTTTTTAAAATACAAGCCAAAAGTATACATATAAAAAACTATATCTTAATCCTATAATTGATCAACTCAAAAATTTTATAATAAAAAAAAATGTAGTGGCAAAATTAAATATATTTTTTATCATACCAATTTCTTTTTGACAAAAAAATTGATGGATTCTTATTGAGCAATGTTGCATTTTCATTAATTTGATTCATAGATATTTCTTCATTAACTCGGGATTTGGGCATATTTCATCAACCATATGTTATGTATAATTGGATAGATTTTGATATACAAATAGATCAAGATTAGTCATACTAAATATTGACCATTCCGAAATTTTATAACTCAAAATTTTTGATATTATTTTAGTCTTCATTTTTTATAATAAAAAATTAAAATAATTATTCATTTCTATCTTACACTCACCTGCATATTTATCCCTATCAATTGGCAAATGTTCCATTGAGATTAGATTTCATTGAGTTCTTTACTACATCTAAATCCTATTATATATTTGCGTAAAAGATGTATTATACATATTTAATATTATTATTCACTGTAATTTATTTATAAGGGTCTTGAAGATAAGATGCAGTAAAGTTTTATTTGTTATTGTACAAAATTTTAGCATAAACATATATTTCGAAAATTATATTTTGTAGAGGTGAGAGGCATTATAATAGTAATCTAGATAACAAATCTTCCTAGGTAACTATCTTATCCATTCCTATCCCTTAAGAATTTTCAACTAAAGAGCCAGCTAATTCAAAATAAAAAATACTACACTTCTGTTTTATTTCATAATTTCAGAATATTTTTAGTTATTTTATATAATTGGTGTGCATAGGGTAGATTATCTCCTATCTAACTTATTAAGAAATGAATGATATTTAAAATGATATAAATTCGTGTATTAAGTAATTTTTGAATATAATGATTAACCTTTTTTAATAATTATTTAAGTCTATTTTATTAACTACAGTAGAATATGCTAATTATTAATGCTTAAAGTTTATAATAAGATACATATTTTCCTAGTTTGATTTCTATATTTTAAGATTATACTTATTACGCATTTCCACAGAATAGTCTCTTGTATCTGAAAGAGATCTTTCTCCTCTACATATTAAAGTAAATATTTTCTTTTAAATTGTATTTTAGTTAACTATGTAAATATAAGACTAATAAAAAATAATTATAAATGATTATTTTAGTTATAATCGTGTTCTTATTAACCATTATTTTTCTAAGTTTTCATATATATTCAAATATATTCTTTTACATTTCCTAAATTTATAGTTATGTATTTATTCTAATCAAATAATTTTCATACTGTGATAATATATCAATCATTTCCACAATGCACACATCTCTATGGCATACTCAAAGTTATTGGTAATTTTTATTGACAAATTCTTAATGTTTTTAGTAAACTAAATCATTTTGAGAAAATCATAACAATGTGTCACATAATATAATATCTTTGTTTAAACATTACATAGGTTAGTTATTAAATTATATTTTTAAAAAATATATCTATTATTCACATAAATATTGAAGGTTAAAGAGATTTTTTTTGACAAATTCATTTTAATAGTTATAATGTTGTATAAGGCACGTTTTTATTGTTATAACAATTATATGTCCCTTAGCCTGTTGGCAAATTTTTTTAGACCTAGGCTTGGGCTGTTGAAATTTGTAACCAAAATCTTAAAAAATTTTATAGGGAAGAAATCTTGAACTAAAATATTATTTTATTTTCTATTTTAATGTTATACATTATATTTAATTGTTTTTGCAATAACTTTTATAATTTTAAGGTGTTTAGCTATTTTTACAAAATATATGAAAATTAATAGCAAATATTTCTCATCTGATTTTATTTTTTAAATTCATTTTATAATTGTGATGTTTAACCAAAAAAAGGGAGAATTAGAAGAATATATATGACATTAATATTTTTCTGGCCAAGCTGGGTCTATATTCTACTAATGATGTTACTGCTGGGCCAGGCTGATGGGTTTGCCTTGCAGGACCATGGGGAAAATCAATTTTAACAAATAAATTTTCCTACACTTCATATTCTTAAATAAATATACATGTATTTTAAAAATATTGATTTGTTTGTGCCCTTTATTCATATCTGGGAATATGTGTAAGCCAAATGATTTAATCATATGTTAAAATTCTTTCTATCAAATTATAAAATCCATTTTTAAATTTAGAAAATGCCTAAATTAATGCTTATACAATTTAAAATGTTAATTTTTGATTTTTTTTTTCATAAAATTATTAATCTAATTTCTATTGGAAAAAGTTGTATAAATGATTATTTTATAAATTATGGACCATCCCCCTGAGATCAATTTTATCTATAGATATGATATACCAGCTCCCCATATATTTTTATACTTTTTTTTAATAATAACAATGAGTGTGTACAAAAAAAGATGTTTTTATCATCCTTTTTAAATCATATCAAAATTATTATTTTTTATTTTACTATTAGTAATTTTAAGGACTTGTGTTTCTACTTTCCAATAACATGGTAAAATCAAAACTTCATAAACAAAGGAAAATTTATAACTATTAAATCCATGCAGAGATCTGCCCACTTTGATTAAGACCAGACAAGTATAAATTTGGGCTGGATTACCTCAACAAAAAATGTGAATTATTCGGTTTTCTCAAAGCCCTTATTGATCTCTTTTACTAGAACAAAAAATTAAAATTTCATATTTTCCTCAAGTGCTTACCTCTTACCACTTACCTTGAAAAAAATAAATAAAGCGCCAAATTTTTCATAGAAACTTTATTTTTTTGGGATTGAACTTTAACGTTTCCTTATTTTAAATAGGATAGATCGAACCACAAGGATGATATTTTTATCGCTCTTGACTTAAAAAATAAGTCCAAAAATGCCCCAAGATTTTAAAAACGTTTAAAGTTGTTTATAAGAAATATGAGGGTTTTAGAAATCAAAATGCTAATATTGGGAAACTTAAAACAGCAGTGTTGTTAAAATAGCGTGCTACTATAGTGTGCTACTTTTTTCAGTAGCTGTAGCTTTAGCTGGCTACTTTTTTTAGAAAATAGCGATAGCGGTAGCTCGCTACTAATTTAGATAGTAGCAAAGTACAATTTTTTATAATAAATACATCTAAAAATTATTAAAATATATTTTTTATTAAATCTAAAATTATAATCTTTTAATTTAATTTTGAAATTTATATTTAAAAATATACATTATAATTCTAGTTAACATTATAAATCTAGTTAGCTTATAAATCTAGTTATTACAAATGTGTGAGATTGTTGAAGATAGCAAAATTTCTTTGGAAAATGAAAAAATATAGATTATCCTAACCAAAATTCAAAAAATACTTTAATCTTGAAGAAAAAGTTACTACTGGATATCGATTTCGATGCAAGAAAATTTTGCCAACCACTGGTAGAGTCTATGCTAAAAAGCATTGAGAAAAGGTCAAAACTTTTTTTTTATTTTCTAACAATTATATAAATGAATGATTTATTGCTTGATTAGCCATAATTTAAATTGGCTTAATTTACAACACAATCTATAATATTAATATATAATTCAAAATTAATATATTATTAATTACCTTGTGTATAATGATTATATTTTTAAAATCTTTATTTACCATAATTTAATGCTATTTTAATATATTTTTATAAATGAATCTAAATCTCAGATAAATTTAATATTTGAAAATTAAAAAGATATTCTTCTTATTTTATAATTAATACAATCGCTTTATATAAACTAGATTTCCAGATCTGTATGATGATTATAATGTAATAGCTGCTATCGTTCATCCTAGTTTTAAATTAACTTGCCCATACTTTAATTTGACTGAATCTAAAGGGCAACTTGATAGGCTGATGGTAACGTTAAAAAATGCCATGCCTAACCACGATACTAATACTATAGCAAGATCGAAACCGTGGCCTTCCATAGACGATTTTTTGAAATAAATAATAATAATAAATTAAACCTCTAGATGCTTTTTTTTAATCTAAAAATACTCATATATCTTTGATGATTTTTTCATATAAAAAGTGTGTATTAAATTTCATACTGCGTGCCCTCAAGTGCTAGTGCTGAACGATTATTTAGTATGGCAAAGCTTATACTTTCTGATCGTCGCTCTAGACTCGGGGATGACAGTATCAAAATGTGATTATTATTAAAGTGCAATATTAAATAAATTATATATATATGTAACAAATTATAGTCATGTTTTTATACCAATATTTTATTTGTGAAAATAAAGTTATGTAAAAAATATTTAAAAAAAAATCATAATAGCGTAAAAAGTAGCTAGCTACTTTTTAGCGCTCTACTCATTAGCGGTAGCGATAGCGCGCTACTTTTAAAAGTAGCGTTTAACAACACTGATAAACAGGAGCTTTGTGAGTGCGTAATACTCCAATAATATTACATTCGAAATTGAACCTTTAAAAAAATCAGCTCATCATTTTTGCGGGCATTATTAGTGTTAACGCCCATGATAGTGAAACAAAACTAATTATCAAGCCCGCGATGCGTAGTAAATATACTAAATATCACTATGGTTGTAATATATATATAAATTGTGTTTTGTGAAGCGCCTGTAGAGTCGATGAATGCATATATCACCTACCATATAGATCCCTAATCAACTGCATAATTTCATCCGTTAATATATATTTAAAAAAGGGTCTTATTACTTTTAAAAAAATATATAGTCGTTGTTTAGCTAATTGTTATACTACCTACTATAGTGTTTTTAAAAGCCCGATTTGGGTTGATTTTTCATAACAACCTTAAGTTAGCTAAAATAATATTATGTAAGAATCGAGATTTGACAAATAGATGTCCAAGCTTTTCTGCCAGCTATGAGGAAAATCTTTTGGATTACATAATGTTGTTATGGTTAAAATCTTAATCGGGTCGTTTTTTAAAATCGACCCGAATCGGGCTTTTTAACTACGCACCTGATATTTAGTGAAAAAGCTAAATATCGCGGGCGTTGGCTCTGGTCACTGCCGATTCTTAAATTAGATATGGGCTGGGATTCGAACCCTAATCCGGTGAAGAAAAACCGGGGTTTTTGGGAAAAAAATCTGAACCCAAACCTGAACCCCGTTTATAAAATTTTCAAACCGAACGGAACCCGATAATTTTATTTGAATCCTGGTTCCACCGGGTTCAGTGTATTGTTTAAAGTAATATATTAAGATATTTGTGTAAATACAAATATTTGTAATTTAATTGAGATTTTATAATATTTTTTCCAATTAAGTGAAGTGTTTATAAATTTTTAACAACTTAATGCATATACGCCATTTTTAAGACTTATTTAATTTATTCTCAAAGATTCCTATTGGAGTGTTAATAAATTTTAAACAATTTAACTCATTTACGCCATTTATTTTTAATTTTTAACTTATTCTAAATGATAAGAGGAAAATGAAAGTGAACAAGTCAAAGTATAGATTATTATATTGGATATTGTTAATAGGAAATATGTCATTAAATTTTTAAAATTGATATATGACTATACTTTGTATTTTTAACTATATTTTACCTGTAAATAAAATAAAAAATTTATTTTTTATGCCAAATTTATGTCTAGTTTTTTATGATTTAAATATAGAATTTTTTTTATCAATTTAAAAATTCTTAAACCCGAGCTGAACACGGAACCAAACCAGGGTTCAAAAATATTTCCCTGAACCGGACCCGAACCGAACCCACCTATTTTTATTTTACCTTAAATCGAACCCGGGTAAAAATTTTGCCGTTCGCATCCCTGGATACGGGAATCTCAATGTAAAGATCGGAATCTTAAATCCTCACATTCTGAATCTTTTAAAAACCACAAAGATTTGCAATAATTTTAAACTCGGTGTTTTAGAATGTTCTCATTTGTCGTTATTTCAATTAAGATCATAAAATATATACAGCCCTCAATCTTTGAATGAACAAATTGATATTAAAACGAATATTTTAAAAAATAGTTGCTAAATAATTATTTTAAAATTAATTTAGACAATTAATATCAAATAATTTAATCATTTTTTAATTTTCGTTAAACATCCTTTAGTTTGTAGCCAAATAAAAATATTGCTCTGATTTTAATATAATTTATAAAATAATATTTTAAATACACATTTAAATTTTAAAATTAATAATATATTCTTAAATAGCTCCCCCTCAATCATTTCCCGATAATTGATTAAATACTGTGCACGAATGAAACAGCAACAAATCAAACAGCATCTCGCGCCATCTACCCAACAGCCCCTACTACACGACAAAAATCTCACCTCCATCCAAAATTGCTATTTGGACTCTAAACAGCGTTCTCCGGCTTCTAAGCGGGACAATTCTCCGGTCAGAGGTGAACATTCCCAATCTGACTCCGATCCTTCTGGTTCTAGAGGGGACGGGAATGATGATAGCGAAAATAGTCCCTCGCCTGTCACAATTCTCGGTAAAGCGAGTCAAATCACCACCAATAAGAAGGATCGCGAGGCGGCCATAATTAAAGAAGATAAGGAGGAAGTACTCTGTTCTGACGACGAGGATGAGCAAGAAGATCCTCAAGATTATTGCAAGGGTAATAACTTATGAAACAATTAATTGTATAATATTGTTTATTAATTTTCCATTGGGAGGGGGGGGGGGGAAATGAGCTTGAAACACTTGTAAGTTATTCTTTATATAAGTATATCGTCGATCTCACTGCAAAACTGTAAACATTTTTAATATTTTACAGGATAGAACGTATTTTCATATTTATATAATATGATAAACATGCTATTTAAATAAAATTATGAAGGAAAATAAATAATAAACCTGCAAATGCATTTTGAAATTTTTTTTAGCTAGAGCGTTTTGGAGTGAGACCGATGATACAGATACCTAGCTGTTATAAGTGTGACTTGTAATATAAAACAACGTTTTTTGTAAAAGAGATTTTAGTGAAAGAAATCAGATCAATTTTTTTTAATTTTGAAGGGCGATATGTCACGTCGAATGTTCTTAAAACAATCGTTATAATTCTTTGTTTATAATAATATTAGTGTCCTAAAGTTTTATGTGCTCATGTCATGTAATTCTTTATATTTTATTATTTTATATTGTATCGAATCTCTTAATAGTTAAATATAATTTAAATAATTATTTACCTAAGCCCTAAATTACTCCAAAACCTTACGGCATATTTTTACTTTATTAATATTTTTAAAAATTATTGTGTGGTTATCTGAATTTTATCGATTTCCTATTATTTTTAATAAATATTAAATTCAAGATTTGAAACCTTTTTTCCCAATAAATTTAAATATTTAACTTGAAATTAATTTACCAATGATATAATATTAAATAATCGTAAAATTAAGTCTGAATTTTAAATAATATTGTCTTTTTTTTATTAAAAAAAAGCCTTCGATTTTTATTATATAATAATTTCTTTGTTCTTGATTGGAGCACGATTAATATTATATGATTACATATGAATGAGAGAGAGAGAGGTATATATATATATAACAAATTTATCCTACGAAGAAAGAAAGGAAGGAATGGAAAAATAAATACGCAGGGCTACAAAAATAGAGTAATGAACTGATGAGTACACCAAATACAATTATTATTAATTATGTTGACAATTGGAGCTTATATTTGTAGCAGGATGTAATTGATAAGGTGATGACTCATATTTACATGTTCCGTTTATTTAAAAAATATATACTTTTTGGTCAATATATAAGAATGATTCTAATTTTTAATAGAATTTTAATAGGAATGAACTTAAAGGAATCTCAGGAGGTAATTACTTTTGAAGAGTTCGTTGTATTTCAATTTTTTAGGTATTTTATTCATGGAATATAAGTATATTGTCAGAAGAAATTATTTCAATGATAGTTATTTAACTTAACACCTCTGATAATGTTAGATGGATGATTTTATGCTCTCGCAACATTTTGAATTTTCAACCTGGCTTGATACCCATTATATACTAATTTTAAGAACCGATTATATATTTTTTTCAAGAAAACTATATTTCTATCTTTTTTTCTGAAAGTAAGACTTTAAAATCATACTTATTAAAGTTTTAATATATTTACCAATGAAAGTTTTAATATATTTACCATCTTTATTGACCAAAATCTAAGGTTCCCATTGAAGTTTTAATCGTTAGATTCCTAAAATTCTTATAAATTTACTAGGGCTGTGCCCATATTATATATTGGATCGGCAATATTTAGCGTTTTCCAAAAATATCGGATCGGGCCGATACCTGCAAAAAATCGATCCGATCCTATATTTTTACTTTTTTTTGTTATTTTATGTATATTTATTTTACATTAATAATTTTTTTTAAACAATGTAAATGCACAACACCCCTTAAATTTTATTTTAATATTCACAAATTTCTAACTAAATTTATTAAATTAAAATAATTATTAAAATTTATAAGTTTTTTGGAAGAAGGGCCTTTTTTTAATTTTTTTTAATTCTTACATTCTATTTCTTTCTTTGCTATACTCATTACTAAACATATATATGGCTCAGGTGTAGTTCCACCCTCATATAATGGGTTACAAGGCTTGTTAGTATCCTTGAGAAAAAAAATCGGCATAATTATATGAAGGATGGGCCTTCATATAATTCACGTACGCTCACCTTTGGGCAGGCCTATGACCAACGTTCAAATAAAGAATAAAGTATTTATACTTTAAATAAAAGAATTTTTTTAAATATGGTATTTGAATTATGGAAATATTTTACAAAAGACAAAGATAATTTTGCAAAATGCGTTTTCTGCATAATTCTAATTTAACGGGGAGGAATAATGTAAAATTCATTTAATACTACCAATATCCGTAAACTTTTTTAATTATTGTAGAAATAAAAAAAATTGCAAAAGATTTTTTTCATAAAAAATATTGATTACTTAATTACATTTTTTTCAAAGGGGAGTGATGAAAAATAAATATCGGATCGGTTTTAAACCAATATGGGAAATATCGGATCGGTGAAAAATATGTGGATCGGCGCAGCCCTAAAATTTATTAATATTTCTCGAGATTTACTTCTTCAATTTCTAGTCTCTCGATAAAAATTTCAAATAAATTATATATAGGTGGATACCATTCTGTCATGATAGGTGATTTATTTAACGAAAGATACCACGTGATTCGCAAAATGGGCTGGGGACACTTTTCTACCGTTTGGTTATGTTGGGACATCAAGTATATAATTTTTTATATTATAGTAATCATAATATAATGCAGGACAAAAGGGCACTGGACACAAATACTCCATATTTACGAGATATATTTTGCTTTTAAAAATGGAGTGATTCAATATCAAATCGATTAAAACCTTTTTTTAAATTTATAAAACTTGATGAGTTAGTTATATATGTTGTAAATATAATATTAATCAAAATTTTATAATTCTAGTTTAAATGGATCAGGAGTTATAAGTTCTCAAAGTTCAATACAGGTGCGATATCAGTTTTAAATAATCTTATATTATTTGATAAATATTTAGTCTATAAGTTGTTGGCAATTGTTATGGAATACAGAGTGTTGGTAAATAGTCACATGCTAAAAAGATACTTAAAACCCCATATATATATATATATATATACTTTCTTTTTATTTTGAAACTAATCCTACCTCATATATTTGTTTTTTATGAATAGAGCTGATGAGATAAATATTATATATCTTAAAACAAATTTTAAAATTTAGCTGTAATATTTAAAGCAAAATCAGGCCTTCGTCTATATTTAATACATGTCAACCCCACTATTCTACATCAGGCAAAGGACTTTATGTAGATTCATTTTAACCAATGTTAAGTATCAATATACTATGTGACTATTTACCGACATGATCTTCCATAGCAATAATCTAAATTTATATACCAGTTTAAAATTCTCCTTAAGAAATTATAAAAATATTTTTAAAATCTCATTGTCATTTGTATTTCCTGTAAATCAAAAATGTGTTATTTTGAGCTTTCCTTATTTTCGGACAATCTCACCTGGTATGTTTATTTCCAATTAGTGTTTAACATTTGCTCAAAATTTAAAAAAGAAAGAAAGAATTTAGCTATTTTGTTTTAAAAAACATCTGAGAAATTTTTTTATATTTTTGTACAAAAATATTTGCCCGGGCAAAACTTTATAAAAAATTTTTTGGGCCGGGCTTGATAAATTAGGCCCGATGTAGATCACTATTGGGGTGTACCAATATTTTTTATCCGTTAGAGCCGATTTCTTCTTTCTTTTCTTAAAATTTCTGTTATAGACCGATGTTATTAAATTTACCGATCCAATAAAATAGCGACTTAATTTTAATTTCAGTATTGATATTTAATATTTTATTTTTATTAAATTTAAAAAAAACGAACTAAATATAAATAAAATAGTATTAAAAAAAATAATAAAATACATAATTTATTTTTATAAGGATGTTTATTATTTTAAAATTAAAAAAATATTTTATTTATAAACAAATAATTTAAACTTATGTCATGGTTATGCTATAGTCATAGATAGTGGTATAAAAAATTAGATGAATACATTGAAAAATAAAATATATTATATATAACGACAAAATGATATTATATTCGGCCAATATCAATATACTCGAATTGTATTGGCCTTCAAAAAAAGTGTTATTGACACACCTCTAATAATGATCATTCATTTAAAATATAACAAAGTTTATTATAAATTTTTTAAAAACCTTCTTTTTCGAGTCCTAAATTTTTTGGACATCAATATGATTCCTTTTGGGAATTGAAAAAATCCGGGCCTACACTTAGTAATGAATTTTCTTAAATCTGAACTTGTTCGTGGCTTAAAAGGATTATTTAACCGTTAATGTTTAATGATTATCAGAAAAATTATTTTTAAAAAGATAGCGCTCATAAAGTTATTTTTCCAAAAATTATAAAAACGAAATAATATTTAAATTTTTTTTCCTCTCATTTCTTATATTGGTTATAAACATATTTGATGAGTTTTATTATCCCAAAATGTGGATTGCTCAATATAAATTCATCTTTTTATCGGAAATACATCGACACTGAGGATTACTTTATTTTATATTTTCTTAATGAGAATTTTAAGGGCTGCAAAATGTTATAAATTTGTACCAAATATTTATCAAGTAAATTAAGATATTTAAGCAGAGATCGTACCTGTATCATTTTGAGGGCCCATAACTTCGAATTAATTTGATCTAGAGCTAACTTTGATAATTATTTACTTTGAACTCTATATAATCATCATAGGAAGTTTTATTCGGTTTCAAGTATGGTGGTCAAAAATTTTGTTTCTTGGTCGATTTGACATAGAATCACCCAAAGGGTTATCAGGGAAGGTTATTCGCTTTTTCAGAGATAAGTTTTTTTATTGGATGGTATTTTTTAAATATATAAATATTCAGAAGCTCTCATGTGGCATCATTACATTTACGATCTTTTATATTTAAAGCTTAATAAGAAGATACGCAAAATATTTGGTCGTATACTAAGCTCTTTTTATAATAGAATTTATATATAATAACCATTTTAAGGTCTATTATAATCGATGTCATCTTCAACTTAAGAAAAATTTAATTTAATATTTATACATACATTTTCTTGTTTAATTTTTTAGAAGTAAAGGATTTGTAGCTATGAAAGTCGTCAAAAGTGCATCTCATTACACGGAATCGGCTTTGGATGAAATTAAGCTCTTGAGATGCGTACGTTTACTTATACCATACAGTTTTAAAACCTGCTTATGCTTTTTTCGTTTCCCGTTTTGAATATACAGTATCTTGAGAAGTGTCGCCAGCTGGTTATTTCACTACATATTGCAAAAAAATGGTCTTGCTATTAAATTTCTGCACGAAGAATAGTGTTGTTAAACGGCTCGATTTAACCTATTTTAAATTACGATTTTAGTCAAAATAATATTGGGCAAGTCTCAAGGTTTCGTTAATATGTCCAAACCTTTCTGCCATCTATGCAAAATCTCCAGGCTTTCATAATATTTTTTAGCTAGTCGTTTTTAAAAATCGAACCGTTTAACAACACTAGAAATGGTTTTTGTAAAAAAAATTATCTTTTTTTGTAGAATGAGGGGGTAAGGTAACATATTTAGATTTAATTTTCTTATTTGGCAATCGGATAAGAATAAAGACAGCAGACAGAAACCCGAATTTTAACCAAAATATTTGAAATACCTTAAAAAGGGATTTTTAATTATCAAGTATATAGTGTAATCTACTTAGGGATATGTTGTTTATTTTTTTTGCTTAAAATTTTCACCATTGCTATTATCACTTTATAGATGTTTTATTATGTCGATTATAAGAAGCCTGCTGAGATAGGATTTTCAGGCCCTGTCCGGATTTTAAAAAAAAATTTTTTCCAATCCTGCCGCATATTTAGAAAACTATTATTTTATGCCTGGTCTCATGTTTTTTTAAGCTCCGACCCAGCTTTTAAATATGTATGTTTAAAAGGGAGATTATATATAATAAAGAACCGTGAATGAATGTTAATGATTCATATGATTTCCCATCTAATTAATACCTGTAAATTAAAATATTTTAAAAAAAATTGATCCTGCCCGGGTTTTATAAAAAGATATTTTTAAACTTTATACTGTTTTTTAGCATACAACTTTCGTCCCGCTTTTGCATGTTTCTGATACCTATACTAAGATAAATCTATTGATAATTCAAGTGAAAATAATATTCTTTATTTATATTTATTGTGACAACATTTGTTAAAAAATTTTTTTATTTTTACCACATCGACAAAATAAAACATTAAGTAACTTACAATGTATTAGAACATGATTTTATCAAAAAATGTTGGTTTTACGTTTAGTTTCATCGATTTTCTTTGTGTATTCCATCATATAATCATAAATCCTTTATAAATATATATATATCATATAGAGCAAACAATAAATTTTTATGTTTTATTGCATTTGAAGAGCATAAAATATGATAAAATTAACTTAAATGCATATTTTTAAAACGAAAACTGTATGCATTTATTACATATTCTATGTGTTACATGCACTATTTATTACTAGAAATTAAAGCTCATCTTTAGAGGAGTTCGTTTAGGATCTCTAGAAAGAGAAATTATTGAAAAATTTTAAGTTCTTTTTTAGATGAGTTATTTAAGATTTATAGGTAAAAATGCCACTTTTTCTTTAAAATATTTAGGGGAGACAACCAGTTTTCTTAAAACAGACAATTGATTATGTCCTTAATTTTCTGAAATATCGACGTATCCTGGAGCTTCAAGCGAGTATTCGAAATCTCTTAATTTTAAATAATTTTCGAGCGTGGTTTTTAATTTTTTAAAAACTAATTCTACCCGAAATGTCTTCTAACATGTATCGAGTAGCTTGAATTTTATTGCCATGAATTTTTTAACTACTTTTAATTTATATATTTATTCGATTTTTCATATAAATTAAAAACAAAGATATATGGCAAAGTTTTCCGAAATTTATAGGGTAGGTATATTCAGACATCATCCATTTTCGGTACAATAAAAATTAAAAATCACCTAAGTGGAATTTTTAAAGTTGAAAGATTCTAAAGGATTTGAGATGAACCGTTATTCCATAAAAACATATGACATAATATATTCAAAATTGCAAATATGGTCATCCAGATTAAGGAACTGGGAGAACCCCAAGCAGAACCTCATTTTGAAGAAATTAGAAACTGTACCCCTTATTTTAGTCATCCAACCTCTGTTTTCAAACTATCGAAATTTAAAACATAACTGAAATAATTAAGATTTGTGGTTTGTTCTTTGCATTTTAAACCAGACATTTATCTTCTTTTACTAAAAAATAATGTTAAGCTTTATTTATTTTCTTTCTTTTTCATATATATATATGAACATTAGGTTAGAGACACGGCCCCCAATAATTCCTACAGAGAAAAGACTGTCCAACTTTTAGACGATTTTAAGATCACTGGTTTAAATGGAACACGTAATTTTTATTTCTTTTTTTATTGATAAAATTTATTATATTAATTTTTTTTGTGAGTGTATTCAAAAATAATAAATACTTTTCGAGAAAAGGGTCATAAATATAATTGGGTGAAGATTTAAAAATGCTTTTATATTTTAATTTTGTGTAAACTAAGATGTGTGCATGGTATTCGAAGTGCTTGGCCACAATTTGCTGAAGCTCATCATTAGATGCAGTTATAGAGGTATCCCGTTAATTAACGTCAAGCGAATTATTAAACAAGTTAGTAAATTAACTAAATTATACATTGTCTTATAAAGCCCATCCCATATTTTTTCAGATAGGATAGGTCTCTGTCCTTTCTTCCCAACAGAGTTTTTTTTTAAATAAAAAACATTTTTAAAGGAATTAATTTTATATATTTATTCTAACTAGAAATTTGCAAAGCCAATCCCGTTAAGAATTTTTGCATAAATTACCTGACCCGTCAAAGTTTTACAAAAAGTCTGCCTTAGCCCGAATTCTTTTGTCCACATTTTTAATATCGTAATCTAATTTTATTTTCCAATCTCAGTTGAAGCTTTATGCCTAGTTTCTACAACGACCGTTTTATAAATCAATTAATTAGATTATATCATAAATAACCTTTTTAATTTTTTGTGAATTTATTTTATTATTTATTGTAAAATCTTGTATTAATCCCTTCAATACTTCGGGGTATAGGACCCCAAGCATGCTAGAATTTATGTTGTTAATTATTATGATTTAGATTTCAGTAGCTTTATTAAATATATCTCAGAATCTATTTCAAATTTTATTTATTTTGGTTGAGTAGTTAATATATAAGCATTTTGTGACTGTTTGGAATCTCCGAAAGCCCACCAGATTAAATTCGTAATTTTGTTTAAAATAAATATTTTAATTATTATAATTATATATATATTATAAAATTTATTAAAGCTGTGCCGATCCATTTATTTTCCGATTCGATATTGCTTCAAAACCGATCCGATACCGATCCGATATTTATATTGATTTTCACCGTCCCCCATTGAACCAAATGTAATTAAGAAATCAATATTTTTTATGCAAAAAATCGAATTATGCATTTAATTTAATTTTTTTATTTTTACAATTAAGACTAATTTAAAAATATATATTTAATAATATATCCATTTTATGTTAGTATGAATTATAAAATTGTAATATTTAATATATAAAATTATAATATAATTGATTTTTTAAAATAAATATGAGATCCTCTAGATTTTCTGGCAATAAGCTTCTACGATATGTACTATCTATCCTCTGCCGTACTGAAGGCAGGCTCAGATGATTCCGCAGATAACGCATTTTGCAAAATTATCTTTGTCGTTTGTAAAATATTTCCATAATTCAGATATCATATTTTAAAAAGTTCATTTATTAAAAATATAAATAATAAAATTGGCGTTATTATTTATAAAGATTTAAAATCATTGGGTGTTCCTTTCTATTTTTATAAAAAAAACTTTTAAAATACTATAAATTTTTTTAAAAAAGAAAAAAAAATTAGAGGGTGTTATGCATTTGCATTGCATTGTTTAAAAAAAATTAATTAGAAAATATTATAAAAATGTAAAATAAATATACATAACATAAAATAAAATAATAAAAAAAGGAAAAGTAAAAAGATCGGTTCGGTTTTTTTACAGGTATCGGCCCTATCCGATATTTTTGTAAAATGCTAAATATCGGTGTCCATTAGATCGATATTTAATATCGGCACAGCCCTAATGTTTATCAAAACGAAATTTAAATACATTGTATTATGAATGAGATCAATAGAAAAGAAATAAACGATTTTCTTATGGAGTTATTTTATTTCTATTTTCACCAGTGAATATGAAAAAATAACATTATCATAGGTTCCAAAGAAAGGAAAAAATGACATAATGCTATTAACTTTCCATCATAAAAAAAATGTTGATACAAATGACCCAAGCAAACATGGAATTTTAACATTTTATAATATGACTAAAGGTGGGGTGGATATGATTGATCAAATTATAAAAAGTTATTCATTCATGAAAGTCAAATCGATAGCCCATAACAATTTTTTACACATTTCTAAACATAACATCAATTATATTACATAATATAGCAAACATAAAAATATCAATGGAACTTATTAGGCCATTTTGGAAGTATGAAAAAAAGTCTCCGATTTCCGTGACTTTTGAAGGAATTATTTGCAATATATTAGGTAAGAGCATATTGGGAATATTATCCACTCAAATGGAAAACGTGATATGTATCATAGAAATAAGGATAAGAAAACTAAATACTTGCCAAATTTGTAAAATAAATTTATGTTGGAGCATATTAATGTTTTATGTGATAAATGTTATTTCAGTGTCTGTCCTATATTATTTTTATTTTTGAATGTATTAGTGTAAATCTTGTTTTATAATAATAAAGATCAAAATTATAATGATGATATGATAGATAAATTATTTTTTATTTTAATATTTGAAAGTTTAAAAAAGTAAACTCTTTTTAGAAAATTTTGCCACAAGTTATTATTATCCTCGTCATATTTAATATAAGCATAATAAATTAAAATAAATAAATATCTTATAAAGTTTAAGGTTAGTTATATCATATATCCAAATATTAAATCAAAATAATGAATATAAATGGGATACATTTAAAATTGGGGTCTTTAAACCCCACCAGAACACTTACGTCATTTTTTTACCAGAGTATTGAAATGTTAAATCTCAAATAATATAAGTCTTGAATAACTTCTAACTTTTTTTCATTCATTACTCAATATATATTTTTTAAATTAGCTACTAAATAACTAATTTTAATCTGAAAAGTAAAAAAATAATAATAAAATCTATTTATATACTTTATATTTTAAAAGAAAAAACCTTAAAATGATTTATATTTATAAATTTAATATTCTAGTTAGACAGATTATAAAATACGAAATAAGCATATTATGATCTATTTTAAATAATATTAATCAAAATATTAGCTTGAAATTCAAAAATATATATCAAAATTATATGAAAAATCGTAGATTTACATGGTCCTGTCTAATTTTTTATGTATAAATTGTCTAGCCTGCCCCGAATTTTTTTATGTATGAATTGCCCGACCCGGCCCATTATATTTTTTGCCATGCCCGCGAACCGGGATTGACAAATCTCTAATCCTGACAAAATCTTGGAAATTGAGGAATTCTTAACTAATTATTTAAAAATTAAAAAATATTTGAAGGAATTTATTATTTTATTTATTACTAATGGATGATGTTTAATAACACCTGCTAATTCCTTTCCCAAATCTAGCAAAAATTCATCTATGTTTTCTTATCAGTAACTCTAAATAAGTCATTAAATCTACATTTATGTATCATATTTAAAATCATTGACCATCTTCTCGCCATTCTCTTTACTAAGGTAATTCAGGTTTATTGTGACGATAAACAGTTAAAATTATTTAAAAGAGGGGTGGAGCGGCGCTCCTCCACTCCAACCCTAAAAGGAGCTTATTCCTGCTCCTGATTTTTAAAAGGAGTGGCGTGGCTCTTCAGGTGTTTTTAAAAAGGTGAGGAGCGCCGCCTTAACAACTCTTTTATATGAAAATTTTATGTTACAATATATTTATATATTAATTTTTTTAAATTAGAGATGCCATTTAGGCATTTATACTCAATATAAGTTGTATTTAAAAGAGCAAAGAAGAGAACCTGCAAACTCTACCACCATAAAAAAATAATTCAACCCGGTATATCAAAATAAAACCAATAATTACACAATTGATATGGAGTAATGGGAAAATGTACAAAATTATAGAACGCAAGTGGAAGGCCCAATTTTTTTTAAAAGATAGGGAAGATAACCAGTGGTAATCAGCTAAAACATGCATGCATAATCAGATGGCATAGCCTATAAGATAGTATGACTTCACTGTTAAATATAAATCACATTTTAATTTATTATTTGAAACAATTGATTGTTTGACAAACTATAAGGGCAGAGTAGTAGGAAATTAGTGCCCATACTATTAGTGGTTAAAAGTAACTTATGTAAACTTAAAAATTTAAGTTTCAATATTGCCTACCTTTATTAAAATTTGTCCAAGAAGGTATGGGCAAAAGATTTGGAAAATTTTTTTTCTTATGATGATGAATATGATGAGGCTTTTTTGGCATTATCATCAAATCTATATTTTAAGAACTTATGAATTGTCGAATGATAAAAAAAATGCTTTTATATTATTAAAAGAAGTCCTAAATGCAGTAGTAGTATATAATCAAGCTCGAACTATACCACCTAATATCGAATACATTTTTTTTCGGTGAAACACGTGCTGTTAAATTATTTTAAAGACCGTCGAAATACATTAGAAATTTTTAATTATTATCCTTCCATTAAGAATTTTTTTTTAAATAAAATACTGCAATATCTTAATCAGCTCCAGGTGAAAAGTTATTTAGTTTTGGCACAATGTTTAATTCCCCGAAATGGCTAAGACTTAATGATAAATTATTTAAAAAATTGATTATCGTAAAATATAATGATTTAATTTAATCTATTTTAAATACTCTTTTGGAATTTAATATTTCAACTCACCTTAAAAATACTAGTCTCCCTTCCCTGACTATGCTATGAATGGGCTAAAACTAATAATAAATTGTCTGATGTTATAATTAACTCGTCATTAAATATTCTATTATTATTATAATGAGTTTAACTCGTCATTAAATATTCTATTAATTATTGTAAATATTCAATCTTATTATATGACAATGTTATGTTCTTCATCAATGTATTTTATATACTATTCTAAATTGGTAATCATAATTTTATAAAAGTATCTTGTATTTAAGATTCTCTTATTTGGTAAAAGATACTAGTATCTTTTATCTTGCATCTTTTAGATATTTTGAATAAGATACTAGTATCTGTATCAAAGATTCATTTTTTATAAAGACTTTGTATCTGTTTTTAGATTCTTTTTCCGAAAGATCTGCCCAACTCTGATTACAAATGCTAAATGTTTAAATTAAATTATTTTTTAAATATTAATAAATCTATTTATATATTAATTAAAATTTAATAAAAATGAAATTTTATTTAAATATTTACAATATCAAATGTTGAGCTGAGTTTTATATTGGTTCATCTAATCGATTAAAATATTAAACATGAAGTTTTTCTTTTTTTTTATATTGAAAATTTCTTGGAAAATCTTGTAAGTCATATTAATATTCATTTTATAGATATATGATAATAGTTTTTGATATTATGGATCCAAACATCATAGAAGAAGAAATCGAAATAAAAAATAAATTATCTATTTAAAAAATTTTAAATAATGATATCAAAATTATTATTTTTGATTTCCTGTATTAAAAAATATTTTTATAAAACAATACCCCGCTTCCTTCTAGTGCTCCTGTTGAGCGCCTGTTTAGTATTGCTAAACAGGTTCTACAGGAGAAGCGTGAATGTTAGATTCAAAATTTTACTTTTAAAAGCTATTAAAAAAGATTAAAAATATTTTGATATATCATTTAATATAAATAAAACTTTTTGATTAAAAAATATGATTTTGTTTCTTGTACTTTCTAAAAAAATGAAAATCAAAGGAGCGGCTATTGAGTGGCACTCCATGACTTGAAGCGGGAGCTAGCTCCTTTTAAAAATGTAGTGGGAGCTAGCTCTTTTTATGAAGGTGGGAGTGGGAGTTAGCTACTTTTAAGGACCGTTAACAACTCTGCTAATATGTTTAGCAAATTTATATAGGAGTTTGTTCTCCTCTTTTATCCTATTAAGCTATATTGGTTCTCCCTTTATAATTTTTTTGTTTGTATAGGTTTGAATTTAGCCTTATATTATCCTTTTTGACTTAAATTATTTAAAAAACTTTACATCTAAAATTTTAAGATTGGAATTTGATTCAGGGGTACTTATTTTTATAATTTTCCTTTCACTACCATGAGTGTTAATCATTCTACAAATTAAAAAATATAACATAAATTTGGTAATTATATTCTTTCGAGTTACATTTTATTTATATATAAAATATATTCTTTATTTATTTCTTTTTGATGTTGTTAATTTTTATAATCTATCTTACTGGTTGTAAATTTTCCAGCTAATTTTAGTTGTCGAAATATAATCTGTGATAGATAAATTTTTCAAGCATGAATATTAAAAAGAATCTATCTTTTGTCAGGAAAATGAAAAAGATACAAGATTCTTTTCAGAATAAAGGATCTTAGTTACAGATACTAGCATCTTATTGAAAATGTCAAAAGAATCTTAAATACAAGTATAGCCGCAAGATCTATTTAACAATATTTGCATTCAATGACACCAGATTACCAAAATGTTGGAGAAAAATGTTGTTACAATAAAATCCATAAAATAAAAATTCTTATCGATGAAAATGACTAAAGATTATCTAAATTTATTTTAAATATTTTGGTCAGTAAGGAAAGATATAATTTTTTTAGCAATGTTCCCAATGGAAAGACAGAATTATTTTAGACAGAGTCACAAAATTTTACCAAAAAATTAAGTTTTATAAGTAATTGAAAATGGCAAAAGAGTTGTACCCGTTTGGTAGGTTAATAGTTCTTACAAAGAAGCGTTCCCGTAGCTCATTTTATTTCGAATAATGTATGAAAGAGTAATTTTCAAATTGTTATTAACGTTTTTTGCGCATTTTTAAAACAATTACTACCTCAATCTAAAAAGTATTTTTTAATTACAACACTAAACGCTTCTGCTCAATTTTAAGCACTATATGTTTTGATTTATATGAATAAATAAAATATTAATAGAAATATATTGAAGATAAATTTACAGCGTTAGATAAAAAATAAAAATTGGAGAAATACTTTTATAGTTGAGTTCGATTTGTAAAATACCCCTTTATGGATGCGTATGTATCTTTCATCTACTTCACCATTTTTTCTATAAAACTAATTTATTTTCAGATTCCGATATAGCATCTTAATTAGGCTGGAAATTAATAAGAAAAAAATATGAATAAATGATACCAGTTTCTTTATAAATTTTGGTTCACAATTTTAAAATTAAACTTGTTATCCGTTATAATTCATTCCCTTTTTTGAGTTATATCCTTGATGGGACGTGTCCAAAGCACTATACCGGGAATCAGGCAAATTTTCAGGTGGACGTTTTAACTTTTCTAGTTCTTTATATATATACATTATCCGTAAAATTATGTGGTTTTACAAAATGTTATCAAATCTTATATTAAAAAGTTCATGCATACATTAATTTTTTTTTATTTAGAGGAATTGATGATGGGTAAATAAAGCAACACTTTATTTGAGTACCACTCAGCCATAAATTTTTTTAACAAAACTAATATGACATTAGGGATTTATAAAATTGGTACTCTGATAAGTTAGGGGTATATCTTATTTACATATATATAACAATCATTTAAAAAAATATTCAGGTACTACAAGGTCTTTACTATCTGCACTACAAATGTCGTATTATCCACACCGACATTAAACCAGAAAATATTCTAATCACTATACCAGACGATTATGTGCGAAAATTGGCTCTCGAAACTATATTTTGTATCAATGCGGGACACAAATTACCAATTTCACAACGTAAGCTTTAACCAAAAATAAACTAACTACAAAACCGATCTGGCCGAAAAATATATTTATTTTTAAATCCGCTTCTAACTTAACAAATAATAAATAACGGATTTAATTATTTATTTATTTTACAAATGAATTTATTTCCCTCAAATTGTAATGAGATAGAGATAAAAGAATGATTAAAAATTACAAAAAAATAGAAAAAAGATAACAATGGAAATGAAGAATTTTAAAGAAAGATAAAGATATTAGTGCAAAGAATACAATAAATATTAATTAAAATTAATTGAGAAAAGATGACATAAAATTAAAGAGAGATCGCAAATTGTTAGAAAAAAATAATAAAGAAATTGAAAATAATGAAAAATTTAATATAAATTGCCAAAAAATCCTATTATCGGATTATTAAATTAACAAAAGAATATTTTTTTTTAAATCTATATTAAATAACGATTTTATTTTTTGTTTGGATTTTTACTTTTTTGAATGGGAAATCCTGCAATACAAGTAGTAGGCTGACGATAAAAATTTTAAATGTAAAACGCTCAAAATTCCCAAATTCTTCGAAGGATATTTGGCGGCTTTCGATTTTTGGCTTATTATTTTAACCTTAGGCACTATAATTTGCCGGTATGGCCTTAGCCTGACTAAATTTCTAAGTCGGTTTTTTTTATACAACCTATTCCTTTTAACACTTTCATTTAAAATATAACAGTGAGCACAGACCCTCTCCATAAAAATGAAAAGCCTGATACTTATTACTTGAATAACTTGGGTGGCCATCAATCTCCTACTACGTCATCACCTCTCATGCCTAAATCAAATCATTCTCACGCCGAAAACGAAATTGCTCAACAACACACGCCACTCAAACAACAGAATCAACAACCGCTCACGCCTAATAGCGTTAGCAAAGCCAAAAAGAGTCACAAAAAGAAAAAAAACAATAATAAGAAAAAATTGAATGAACAAGGTAAAAGGGCTATTGATCTATAAATATTATGGGTTCCTAACTTAATTGTAGATATGTAACTTTTCTTTAAATATATTCTTAAAAATTTATACGCATGGCAAATCTTATAGGGTGTTATCATTATATTTGATACGTAACCGCATTAATATAATTTAATACCTTTTATTAAATTAATTCTTCTGTAGCTACTAAATATTATATATTTGTTTGTTTTAAAATATAAATTAATATATAACCCATTAAATTATATTGAAATTTGCTATTCTTTCATTTTTAATTTAATAACTATACATTCATCTTGAATGGTTACCTCCTCTACAGGATTGTGCTCCTCTGTGAAGTTGTTATTTAAGTTCTATAAAAAATTTTTTAACACAGAGCAGCTTCTCCATTGTGATTTTACTTTTCTAATTATCAGAGATCGGCTTAGCCAATAAAACTATTTTCACTGGCTTTTCGTGAAATTTTTATAAGTTACTACTGTCCTTAAAAATTTATTGAACTGGAAAAAATAATAATCTTAAGCTAGACTAGCTTATTAAAATATTTTAACAATTTGAACCAAGCCTTTCAAATTTCTAATAATTACCCTTCTAACTTTAATTTTTACAATTTTCACGGCTATTTTGCCTCCATACTCATTCAACTATTTTGTAATTGATTATATCCAGGTGAAAATTTAATTTCCAAAAACTTCACTGCCTATAACACCACAATTCCCGCCTCACCAGATAATACAATTATCTCGCCTAATATCGCCGTCGCTACCTTAACCGAAAACATAGACGATTTCGATACGTCTACCGTTTACTCCTCTCAGAATAGTCACTCCATGAAGCCCGGAATTTACTACCCCTCGTCTTTCGCTGGCTCCTGCACTCAAAAAATGTCACAGAATAAGAAGAAAAAAATCAAGAAAAAGATTAAGAAGCAACAACAAACTAACTTACCATCGCAGCAGACACCACAATCACCCAATGACGTGATGGTGGACGGTAAAGAAGGCGATAAAAGAAGATTTGTTTGTAACGGTAAAAAAAACTTTATTGTTTTTGATATTATATATTCATACCTAATCCGAACGGTTACACGGGTATTAACTATTAATTATTTATAGAATTCAATTTTAACAGTTAAAAATTTTATCACCTGAACCAAACCTTTAAAAGGTCTGTCTAGTTCAAACATGTTCTAACTTTTTTAAAGGTTATTAACAATCAATCTTGATTGATCAACTTATCTTTTTTATATTACTATTTGAAAGTGCCAGTTGCCCAAGTTCTTCTATAAATAAAAGATTTTTTAAAATATTTTAATTTTCTATGACTCAATATTTTTTAGGGAATAGTGAAAAAAATTTTTAATGTGCTTATTTAGGAAAAGGTTCGAACCAAACCTTTATTCTTTACGATTTGGTTTTACTGCTCATTTATTTTAAAAATATGTTCATTATCAATAGGAGATTTGTGCAGCTTAGAATCTAACGAAATTACAAATAACATTGATGACTATACCGATGCTTTTAATATTAAAGATGATGTAATATATCCCGCTACAGGCCCCATATCTTTCGACGGTAAATAATCATAAAAAAATGCGCCAATTTTCATGGTTTATACCAATAAGCCAATACATAAAAACATTTTTATTAATGAAAATAAAAATATCAATCTGTTTTATTATGACATACATAATCACAATATTTAGGGTTCGTTCTAATTTTGTGGACCGAGCTATTTTTTAAAATTGAAAATATTATGATTAAATTACCCCTTGTATTAAAAGAATCTTTCTATTTGCCCTTATTCTATATTATTTATTATATTATCATCATCTGATTTAGCTTAGAAATTTACGAAAATAATTCCTTTAAAGTTGTTTAATTTTGTCTCTTTATAACAAATATTTTTGCACATGCAAAAGGTAGTAATAAATGTTAAAAGATTTTTAAATTTAAATATGATTTTAAATTCCATTTTTATTATTTAAATTTTTTTTAAAAACAAAGTTAATATAGATCAAAACAAGCACTTTTAAATTAAAGGATACACATAATTATTTTATTTTCGACAGATATGCTATTTCTACCAAATTTCTTATAATATATTATGTTTATACATATTTTATACTAGTCATACTGAAAGACATAGAAAAATATGCGATAATCCCAAAGCGACAAGATTTAAAAATTATAGCTCATTTAGCTGGTGACAACGCCAACAACCATTCAGAGCAACCAGGTCCAGATAATACTAATTATATTTTTGAATTTTAAATTCAATGATTTAATTCAAAGCAGGGTGTCGAATCTCGAAACCATAATGAACCGTTATCATTTTCCGAAGCGTAACCGAACCGTTAATAATAAAATCTCAAAAAAGAGAGCCGAACCGTTATAAATACCTATAAACCGGGTTATAATTATATTTATTAATTTTAATGATTAGCTTACATACACATGGTTATATTATTTAATTTGTTATTTCTTAATAAGTTTTATAATAAAATTGAGAAATTTGACTTATTTCCTTTTGTTTTTATTTTTAAAATATTTTTCGTAAACAATTATGGCTCAATTAAAAGATTTGTAATAGATTATACAAAATCAAAGCTTATAAAAACCGGAAAGAACCGATATGCATTTCCAAACTAGAACCAATCAGCATAACCGGAACGGAACTAACCCGTTTAAACTAATAATGAGAATATAATTGAGATCGTTGACACCCTATTCAAAGTTTTTAAAAAATTACATATGGTGAAACAATTTCACCATGTATTATGATTTCCCTTCAGGTTATCAAGAGCTCTCTTGCCGTTAATATAAATTGATTTGATATTCATCCTTGCATATTTATATTGTATTAATTCCAGCTTAAAATGAAAGTTTTATGTTGTGAAGGTCATACACATTGATTGAAATCAAAGACCTGTTGGCCACACCCAAAACCCAACTCAAGTATTATGAATTTAATAAACCAGGACAGACTGGGCCTAAAAATAAATTGCAACCCCGAACTGAATCGAGCAGGTAAATTTACGAATTTTTAAACCCAGACCAGTCTGTGCCTGAAAATTAGTACCCCTTCAGGTCTTTGATCTATTATTTCGAAATATTTTAGGAGTGACATATTTTATAATTTAAAAAAAAATTATTTGTAATCTTATAAGCTGGACTAAATTCTAACTCAAATAGCAGCAGCGTGTTATCGTCCAATCAAGATAATACGAGCGAAACTTCCTCTTCTTCTGTGTATTTTTCTTCCCATTCTCAACCATGCACAGCTTTGAATGGGGCGACTAATAAAACTAAAAAAACTTATTACAATAACTCTGGAACTAATTATTTCAAAGTTGTTGATAAAGGTTGCAAATAAATTTATAATATATATTTGAATCTCTGAATGCAAAAAAAATACCTGTATGATAAAGAAAAAAGTTAATATATTTTGATCGAAAGTTATATGTACATTCTTATATCACTCATTCCGTAATTCAAAATTTTCTAAGACATTTATAATGGCTATGATTATTTTGGACCTAAAATTAATTAAAATGGGCAGTATTATTATTATCAAGAAATAATTAATTTGGACAATATTTATAAAATATTGAACAGTAGAAAAATAGATAAACTGAGCTGTAAACTAAAATTTATGAGTATTTATTAGAAAGTTGTTTAGTATGTATGCAAATATCTTTTTTTTTATAAGTTATCAGATATATTATATAAAACTGAATTAACAAATAAAATATCAAAAATGAGATTCATTATGTAATTGCAGTTTTTATTGAACATGTCATTGAGCAAATCTAAATAAAAATAATTTAAAAATGCCATATGATTACTCATAAATAATTTAAATAAGATGGGGCAATTTAAAATTCCTTTGCCCTAATCATTTATGTTTTTGATAGTTTTACAAATTAATTTTAACAAATTTATTTTTTATTGATTAATTGCTTTCAATTTATGTGTAGGTTCTTGTTTTTAAAGTAATTAGTAGATTTGCCATATATTATTTTTGCATAGACCATTTTTCTATTATTTTCTTAATAATTTTGAAATGAGACAACTAAACATTCTATCATAAAGTATTTCCATAATTAATTACCTTATTTAATGTTTCTAAGGCATTATTGGTGTATGTGATCTTCATATAATTCAAAGACCTGCTTAGATACGATTTAGGTGGCCCAGCCTGGATTTACAAAGAGAAAATATTTCGGTCCAGCCTGGATTTTTTTAAAATATATGATATTTAATTTTTATAGATAATAATGGTTATTTGAAGTATTTGGTTTTAAAATAATGCCCAGCCCTGATATTTTTTTTAGGCCCAGCCCGACTCAAGTATTTTATAAAAATTAAAATACAAACCAGGCCTGGATGTCTGATACAAAATTTTTATCCAGGCATTTAGTTTTAAAATTTAAGTCAGGAACTACTATTTCTCGGTTTTCAATAAATAATTTAGTGGCTTTATTAAAAAAATAAATTGGTTTGAGCTAATTATTAAATAATTGATTTGTCCACAAAAACAAAGAAACTCTATTTTAACAGCATATGTGCTTTTCCTTTCCTACCAATGCCAGGTTCATAATATTATCACACACTTAATGGTAATGTTTAAAAAATTAAAAACTCCCAAGCAAATAAAAAAAACTTGAAAATAATTATTAACGGCCAAAAAATTACAATATTTCTAATTTTTTTTAAAACTATCTATTTAATTTAAATGCTGCTTAAATTCAATAAAAAAACAGCCCGAATAAATTGTCGCATATTTTGTAATATCGCTAAATGTTCTTGATTTAAATAAATCCTTATTTTACAAAGTTTATTTGTTCACGTTTCAAATTTCTACAAATAATAAAATAATCTGATGATATCAATCATATTTCATATATAACATAATATGACATGAAATAGATATGGTTGATTATGGCAATGTAGCGCGTTCGCGTAATAAAAAAGAGGAACCTATTACTCTTCCCGCTGAAAATATAACGATTTCTACTAAACGTAATATTATTATTAAAATAATTTTGAATATCTATAATCGTTCTCCTTTTTTAAATTTCGAATCATTCTTGATATTTTTTCTATTAAAAGCTAATATAATATTAACTATAATTATTATTTTTAGGATATCGCGGAAGAAGACATCCTTTTTTTTTACATTTCAAATTTAAAATAATAAAGATTTTTTTGACAAAATTTTTACTCATTCCTTTATTCAAATGGCTTAAATTATAGCAACTGGCCCTGATCCGGCTCTCGAAGACAGCCCAAACCTAAGGGTTAAAATAGCGGACCTTGGAAACGCCTGTTGGGTTCACAAACATTTCACTGAGGATATTCAAACGCGGCAATATAGAAGTTTGGAGGTCTTGCTCGGCTCAAGCTACGATTCTTCTGCCGATATTTGGAGCACAGCTTGCATGGTTTTCATTTATTATGATTTTTTAAAAACTCTTGCCTGTTTTAAAATTCTTATATTTTATTTCATTATTTTTTTCCAGCTTCTTGAGACCCTGACTTTAGTATAAATAATAAGGATATAGGAGTAAATGGATCAAGGCGAGAATCAGTGGATTTTTTTTTGAAATTCACTCTGATTAACTTTTATTTATTATTGTTTAGAATATTTGCATATTAAAAGAAACCTAGGAAACAAATATGAATATGAAAGCTAGGGTGTTCCCTTCAAGCGAGGCGCAGTGTGTAGACCTCCATCCTGTGAAAAGTAAACTAAAGGTCAAAGCAAAGAAGATAAGATTAGCAAGTTTGAATATTGGGACGCTTAAAGTTAAGACGAGAGAATTGGCATCAATTTTGAACAAGAGAGAGATAGGTATAAATTGTACTATAATGGAATTGTTAGCAATAGGAACGGTGTTGGCATCATCCTCAGTCAAGATCTAACCTCCTCAGTAGTAGAAGTCAACAGGATCTCTGATAGATTAGTGAAGATAAAACTCTGCATTGGTCAATTACTACACATCCTTTCAGTATATGCTCCTCAAACGGGTTGCAAGGTAGAAGAGAAAGATGACTTTAGAGCCCTCCTTGATGAAGCTGTAATGGAAATCCCTAAGGATGACCTAGTCATAATTGGTGGAGACTTAAATGCGCATGTGGGGAAAGCAAGAGATAGCTACAAAAGGCATCATGGTGGTTTTGGATATGGAGAAAGAAAAATGAAGGAGAGCATGTACTGAAATTTGCTCAAGCCTTCGACCTTGCCTTAACCAACACCTACTATAGGAAAAAAGACAGTCATCTAATAACATATGAAAGTGGTACAAGGAAAACATAGATAGATTACATACTAATCTCTCGCAGAAAATTGCAAAGTCATCCCAGGAGAAGATATCGCCCCGCAACACAAACTACTAGTCATGGATTTACACATCTCAAATAAATCCACTCAAAACAAGATAAAACTGGAACCAAATGGGGCAAATTAAAAACAATGAGAGATGTCTTTGCAATCAATGCAAACATTGAAACAATAGATTCATCACAAGTCAGTGAAAAAATGTGGACAGACCTTTCATCCAGATTAATAGACACTGCCAAATCGACACTAGGCTTGACAAGGGGAGGTAATAAATCATACAAAGAACTATGGTGGTGGAATGAAGAGGTAGAAACCACTATACAGGAAAAAAAAGCCCTTTATAAATATGGTACAAATCCAAAAACCCAGATGACAAGACAAGATACAAAAAATCCAAGAGATTAGCTACAAAGGCGGTGGCTAGGGCTAAATCTATGGCATACAATGACATGTATGAAGAACTACATACCAAAGAAGGGCAAAATAAAATATACAGATTAGCCAAACAACGAGAAAAGAATTCTAGGGATATAAACGGAGCTCCGAAAGTAATCAAGAATAAAGATGGAAATTGATAATAAAGGAAAAAGAAATAATGAATAGATGGAAAGAATATTTTCAGGAGCTTCTCAACTTTAATTCTCACATACTACATCTAGACGAACACTCCCCATGTCAAAACCTTGTACAACCTATAACAGAACAAGAAATAATCACATGCCTTAAGCATATGAAAAACAACAAAGCTAGGGGTCCAGACGATATTCCAATAGAAAGTCTTAATGCACTGGGAGATGATGGAATACATCTCACCAATCTGTACAATAAAATATTTGGAAATGAAGAGGTTCCCCAAAAATGGAGGCATAGTTATCTAGTTCCTATCTTCAAAAATAAAGGGGATCCACACAATTGTCAAAATTACAGAGGCATAAAACTAATATCACACTGTCTAAAACTATACGAAAAAATAATAGAAAAAAAGATTACATAATCGAAATAGGAGAGACTCAGTTTGGCTTTATGCCTGGAAGATCAACAACTGATGCTATCCACGCAATTAGGCAAATGAGTGAAAAATACAGGGAAAAGAACAAAAAGCTACACATGGTCTTTCTCGATCTAGAAAAGACCTTTGATAGAATCCCAAGAAAACTTATCTGGTGGGCGCTACGCCACAAAAAGGTTTCCGAAAAATATATAAGAATAATAAAGGATATGTATATGGGCCATACAACAATGGTCCGTAGCACAACAGGTACTTCAGCAGGCTTCACAATAGCCGAAGAAGTTCATCAAGGGTCGGCTCTCAGCCCACTTCTCTTCATTACAGTAATAGATGTATTAGCACAGTCTATACCTCAAACAGTCCCCTGGAATATGATATTTGCAGATGATATTGTGATACTTGCCGAATCCAAGGATGAAATGAAAGAAAGATTAGTGTGTTGGATAAATATCCTAGAAAAGCACGGACTTAAAAGTAAATAGAGAAAAGACGGAGTATATGGTGATAGGAGGAGATGAAACAGAGAGTATTGATATAAATGAATGGCAGATATCGGCAATTGAAAGCTGCAAATATTTGGGCTCCACTATACAAACAAACGGCACAATAGAAAAAGAGATAAAAAGTAAAATTAATCAAGGGTGGTTGAAGTGGAGATCTTTATCTGGAGTGCTATTTGACAAAAGAATCCCACACAAATTAAAGGGAAAAATTTACAGTTCCATAGTACAACCAACTATACTATATAGTTCGGAAACATGGCCAACCAAAGAATCAGACGAGAGAAGTCTACAAACTATGGAGATGAGAATGCTGAGGATGATTGCTGGGGTAACAAGAAAGGATAAAGTGCACAGTACAAAAATACTAAGTAGTTTATAGGTAGTGCCCATTAAGACTAAGTTAATGGTAAACAGACTTTATGGGCACACAATGAGAAGGCCTATGAACTACATAGGAAATAAGGTTGAGAGTTTGGAAGTGATGGGCAAACGTAAAAGAGAAAGGCCAAAACTTCAATGCGGCCATAAAGTTAGAGCCAATATAAAGAAGTATAAATTAGATAAAAGAGATTGTATGAATAACATAAAATGGAGAGAGATGTTGAAGGAGCTTACCACCAGAAAAGGTGAAAGCTAAAGAGGAAAAAAAAGAAAGAAACCTGTGAAATGCATAACCAATATTAATTTTATTATTCTGGTTTAAATTATATTTTCATTTTTCCCCCTTTTGTAATAAAATATTCCTTTTTACTTTTTAACAGGTGATTTTAAATTATTTAATGGATATAATTTTTTACTAATATTAGTAGAAGGATTTATAAACCTGGTTAGGTATTAAATGGCATAACCTCCACTATGAATGCATCCCTAGGTTAGTTAAATAGTCACCTTTCTTGGCTTAGACATGCTCAATGATACATTTTAGAAAAATTTTAGGAATGCTCATTTTAAGTTCAGTTGTGTTGAAGGTTCGCTATTTATTATACTTGTTTGAATAAGCTTATGTTTTATATTATTGTTATATTATGAAGCCAAAAATCAGAGACTCCCGAATTTCTTTCGGCCTGACCCGGGTTTCATATTTCCAGGGCTGGTCCGGATTTATTTAAATTAATAATAGCGATTTTAAGCATTTGGTTTTAAAATATACCGCCCGGCCCTGGTATTCTTTTCAGATATATGTTTAATATTACTCAAATTAGCGCTGTGCTATGTTTATGAAGAATAATTACGTTAGAGTTTAAAATTATTATTTTATATACAGGCTTTCGAGCTGGCTACTGGTGATTACTTATTCGAAGCCCATTCAGGTAAGGATTATTCTCGAGATGAAGACCATATCGCCCTAATTATAGAACTTCTCGGTCATATACCTTCAAGCATTGCTCTAGGCGGTAAATATAGCAAAGAATTGTTCAACAAACAAGGTCTGCCGAAAAACATTTATTTACTTTATCTTGACTTATTTATATTATAAATTTACAAAATTGTTTTTTATATTCTTTTTAATTACTTATATATTTTTTAAAAAATATCGACATCGAACAGGTAGGTTAAAACGTATCACCAATTTGCGTCCTTATTCCCTGTTCGATCTTTTAACCAATAAATACGATTGGGATTCCACTTGTGCTAGAGAATTTTCGGATTTTTTGCTTCCTATGCTCCATTGCGATTCTAGTAAAAGAGCAACTGCTGGCGAATGCTTAGTCCACCCATGGTTCAGTGATACCTGAATAATCTTTTTTTAAAAAAATGAACCAAATTTATATTAATCTTAATTTGCGAGTTTGAATAATGAATTTAGGCAAAATATATTTTTTAAAAAATTATAGAAATTTCTCGCGAAATTAACTGTTTTTTTTTATCGAGATACTTCAAGCGCTAAATTTAAAGAAATACACTTCAAAAAGATAACGATGCACTTAACGAATTTCTTTACTTTACCCCCCCCCCCCCCCCCCTCTTTAGTAATAACAAAAATTTAATGATTTTTTTAAAAAAATGGTTTTTTAAAAGAAATATTTATTCTGAACTTTATAAAATTAGTATTTTTATGAAATAATTTATTATACGAGTCATTCTCATCTTTTCTTTTTTTCTAGCTAGAATTTTGTATATTTAAATCCCAGCCCATTCTATTCCTTTTTATAATTTTAGGAAAATCAGTGATAAAAACACACCTCAGTATTTTTGCCTTTATGTTGAAAACAAAAATCTATATGACAAAGAATAATTATTGCCAGAACGGAACTGTAAAGCTATTTATTGTATTTTTTTTTAAAGTTTTTATTAAATCCAATTATAATAAATGATATTTCTTTTTTTAAAAATCAAAATACAATCCTTTTTTTTAAAGTTAAATTATATTTATGATTTTTATTTTATGAATAGTTTAAATTTTTTTATTGAAGCTAATGGAACTGCATAATAAAATTGTTTTTAAACATATATAAATTCATGGCAATACTTTGTAAGATCTAAAACATGATTAGGCACTAATTCTACGTGCAACATTGTAAATTTTAGGTAATAATATCTTGATATGTTCCTTTTTATTTTGATACAGAAAATGTTTTCGTGTTAAGATAGAACTAACCAAGAAATTTTAATTAAAAAATATTCAAACATAATTTTTAAACTGAAATGTAACTCATAAATAATATTTATAGATTTCCTGATCGTATTTAAATGTTAATTGTTCTTTTTCAAGGGATCAGGATCCAGGATCGATTTTTTTAAAACCAAATCACGCACCTCTTATTCTACTTTTCATTCCGATAAATATTATTGCTTAATATATATTTAAACTCGCTAACTTTTAAATACAAATAACCATTTTTACCTCTTTCTGATATTTGTATAAATTTTATTAATTGAAATCTAAAATTATTTATGAAAAAAAAGTAAAAATTCAAATTTACACTGATCAATGGTCATCTTATGTCATTAAAAAATAATATTTAAAAAGAAAATGACTTCCAATTTTTAACCCTTTCGCGCCCGACTTTTTTTCCCTCGATGAAAAATTTTTTTTTTAAAGAGTTATTTATTATAGACACAAATAACACATTTTTATCAAAAAAACTTATTTCGAGTATTTCTATCAAAAGATATTCAATGATTCCAATTGTTATCAATGGGCAAAATGCAAGTTCATTTAAAAAATATTTTATTTCATATGAAATAACAAATAACAATTTCGTTTATTATTAAACATAAATAAATATTACATTTTTTGCAAATAATTCTTGAATAGGCTTCTATGCAATACTTGCACCTTTGCTTAATACTTACGGGCATTGGGAAATGACCTACTTGTCATATCTTATATCCGATATGAGGGCAATGTTGATAGCTTTTCTTCTTTTAACATCTATGCTGGAAGGTTTGCCGGTTTTCTTTGTATTATCCTTTCCTGCAAACATCAACCCTTTTGCTATCTGCGATTTAAATACCAAAGGCATAAATTTTATATTATTTAACGCTTTCATATGGCGTCTATATAGGAGCCAGGCATTTACCACACAAGAATACAATAAATGGAAAACCATTCGCATATAATATCGTTTCCATTTAATATCTGTCCGATATAACTCCACCAGCATATCGTGAAGATCTCCTCCACCCATTCCCTCATAGTTTTTAATTATTGCGGGCATTTCTACATTTACAGACCCGGGGTTCATTCGCCAGATGCCTTGGCCTTTATGGCTTTGGCATCCCTAAGGCTTTATTAAATTAAAATTTCATATATCACAATTATAAAAGAAAACAATAATGAATTTTAACCGATATAATAAGCTATTTATATAAATAAATAAAGGAGAGGGAATAGATGTTTCAACAGACCAATATTGTCGTATATAAGGCATCTTAACTATACTAGTATATAAATGTATCCCAATAAATTTTTCAATTTTATCACTATCTGTATTTATAGATTTACCGGAACATTGGAATGAATAATTATTTGTTTCCGATACAAAATTAATGATTATCTGATTGTCAAAAAATTTACGAAAATATGTTAGTGGAGTTGAATCCTCTTCAGGAATTTCTAATATAGGGATATATTCTGTATTCATATTTCCTATGTCTTTCTTAGACCACATGGGGTTATCTTTTATTTTAATTATAGAAGTATCTTCTATTATATCCTCCACATCAAGGCCTAGTTGATTTGTAATATAAGATGAAGTCGGCAAATCATCTGCCAGCAAAGAATAATAATTGTCTTCTTCGTCTGAGCCCTCTATATCAGCCTCAGATATATCACGCTCGGGGATAAGTGTAGTCATATCTAAATGCATATTGATATAAAAAGCATTTCATATTACATGTTATTTATATAAAATATTTATTAGAACCTCTCCCTATATCCAAAAAAACCCACTAATAGATATTAGTAGATAATCAATATAGGTAACTATTATCAAAATCTAATAACCTTCCCCCCTTTCGTTTCCATAATTTTAAAACTAAATATTCCATTTATTGATAAAAAATATTTTAGTGCATAAGAAATGACCAATGATGCCAAATGGCATTATGTTCAATAAATAAAAATATTAATATATATATATTAATAATAAAATTATTAATTATATTTTTAGCAAGATTTGATAACCAGAAATATGAATTAAAATTTTGGCGCGAAATTGGTACGAAAAAATTGATTTTTTATAACTATAATATGATATAATAACATATGTAACAAAGCGAGTTATTGATAAAATACGAAACAGCAAATATTAAAAATTAAAAAATGATTTCAAAAGTTATCAGTGGGTATTTTTAATACATAAAAAATACTATTGAAAAATTATGATTCCAAAAGTTATCCATGGGCGCGAAAGGGTTAATAAAAATTATATCGTTTATTAACGGATTAAGTAAAATTTTCTTCAATAATTTGCACTACAAGCAATTATATCTACAAAAATTTAATATATATTTATTCATACATTGCTCTCATATGGGATTTTGGTCGTTTACCATCTGATGTTTCCTGACTTCATTGGCTACCGGGAGACGTTGTCACTACCCCGCCACGTTGAGGCAGAAGATATTTTAGATGGCGTTATTTTTTTATTTAGTAATGCAAAATAAGTGATTTAAAAATAATATTACGTATATTGATTATTAATTTTTTAATACTCATGCATGATATTTAAGTTTATTTATTACCTTATATTTCCTTAAAATATTTTTAAAAAAACCTTTTATTACATTGAAATATTAATATAAAATAGTGCAGCATCACTACTTAATTAGCTAATTTACAAATTATGCCTAAATTATTTTTCTTAAGAGCTAAAATATTGTAGTTCTAATTATATTTATTTATTATAATATTTTTATTAAATTAAATGTAATAAAAAATTTTTAAAAAATTAAGATTAAAAAAGTACTTAGTTTCTAGGCTGTATCTAAAATATAGAAAATTAATATCGCAAAATTTCCAAACTTTAATGAAAGTAAATATTTTTAAAATTGAATAATTAAAAGATATTCAAAACAAAATTCTACACTTTTTTTTATAAATTTAATATACTACATTTCCCAATTTTTTTAAAATGGTTTTAGACACATCCAAGAAAGAATTTACTTTTAAGTAAAATATAAGATATAAAATAAATTAATGAATTTTGTATACAAAAAATATAATATTATCTCACTAAATATTCACAAAAAAACATAACCAAAATTTTCATAATTATCTTTCAAAACAGTTTATATAGAAAAATATGATTTGAGTCAGAAGCAGCGTTACTGGCTTTTTAAAATATCTAGAAGGTAGGAGGAGGGCTTGAAAGCTGTTTTTAATTATAGATATTAAAAATGATGATAAATATTTAACAACCATAACAACTTAAAATTCATCGAATTATTTTTAAATAAACTTAAGGGAAATGTTCAAAAATTGAATTTTACAAGATGCTAATTTATATTTTAGGGGATGATATACACCTACTTGTCCCTCACTTCTGACTTCTATGATTTAGGGTTTATTATGTTTAAAACTTTAGTTTGAATAATAAAATTATTTATTTTGATGTAAAAAAAGACGATTTAATTATTAGGATTATTATAATTTTCTCACTATTCAAAAAACATATAAAAAAAATATAGAAAACTAAAAATACCAGGAGTGGATATGGAAACCACTTATATTAAAGCTAAATTCAGAATGATTATTTAATTTGCAAAAAAGTTGGTTCTCTATCCGTAAAAATGGATTCAGTCGGCTTCAATAAGCCCCTTCTTCTCACGGTTTGATTTTTTAAAAAATGTTTATAGGGAAGAAATCTTAAACTTTAAATATTCACATAAACTTTGATTATTTAAATGATGCTATATATTTTATTCCATTACATAATATGTTATAAAAGAATCTAGGAAAATAATTCCCCAGAAAAAAATCCCCGTTTATTAAGATATTAAAAATTAATAAAATAGGAGAAAAAATTACCTATAAATATATTCACGAAATAAAATCTTCAATAAAAATTTAAAGAAAATCAATTCCGGGGAATTATTTTCTAAGAATTAATATTGAGGATTTTTTTTCCGAGGAATTATTTTCCGCTTACCGTTGAAAACAAAGTAAAACTTTTTATATTTTTTTAAAATTCTGTGATAATCCGTAAAAAATAATAAATAATAGGAAGAAAATGTAACATTAATATTTTTACTTAATAAGGGAAAGAAAAGAATACAATATTTCAATGAACCCTCACTTCATTCATTGATTGTTTAATCATAATTTTTATCTTGATTTGCTTAATCTTACCAAAAATCTTCGAGTGGAACAAGGCTATCGAGCATATTATAGGTAAAAAAAAAACTAAGATAATCCAAATCAACAAATTATAACTTTAAAATTTTAGAAATTAGAACTGCGGGATTTCTTAGCTTTTTAATTAATAAGTCTTGGTTTTATTTTGTTAAGAATTGTCAGTATTATTTTCAAAATATTTTTTAATATGTTAGAGAGTATAGGCAGCGCATCGAATACCATAAACATTAGAATGTATTCCTTTTCTTTCTAGAAGTATTCCATCTGGAGTACTGAATATTTTCGAATTCACTTTTTTGAGCTAATAAATATTTCATCATCAAGATATTTGTCTGAGACATAAACACTCACCTTTCATCTATTGACATTTATTGCCTATTCAAAAACGAATACGAACTTTTTTAAATTTTCCAAAAATCCATATTTAGAACCGTAAGATGGTATAAA